TTCTTTTCTTTTCTTTTCTTTTCTTTTCTTTTCTTTTCTTTTCTTTTCTTTTCTTTTCTTTTCTTTTCTTTTATATCGTTTATATATATATATATATATATATATATATATATATATTATATTATATTATTATTTTTAATTTTATATTGTTATTTTTGTATTGTATTGTATTTTATTGTATTGTAAGCTGCCCCGAGGCTTTGGCAAGGGGCGGCATAGAAATGTTATAATAATAATAATAATAATAATAATAATAATAATAATAATAATAATATCCTGCTGGTAGGTTGCCGTGCCTGAAAGTCTGGCTTTAAAACAGCAAAATGATACACTGAGAATAATGCTGCTGATGCCTGTTCCTGGGCAGCTGTTTGGCTAATGTGTGAACAGAATGGAGAGCTGGATGCACCCAGGGTCTCATCCAGGATGGCTCTTTTGACATTGTTATGGGATTTGCTTAGTAGCACATATGTTGTTGTTGTTGTTAATTGTGAAGTCATGTCTGACCCATCGCGACCCCATGGACAACATTCCTCCAGGCCTTCCTGTCCTCCACCATCCCCCGGAGTCCACTTAAGCTCACGCCGACTGCTTCAGTGACTCCATCCAGCCACCTCATTCTCTGCTGTCCCCTCCTTCTTTTGCCATCAATTGTTCCCAGCATTAGGATCTTCTCCAGAGTCCTTCCTTCTCATTAGGTGGCCAAAGTATTTGAGTTTCATCTTCAGGATCTGGCCTTCTAAAGAGCAGTCACAGTTGATCTCCTCTAGGACTGACTGGTTTGATCGCCTTGCAGTCCAAGGGACTCGCAGGAGTCTCCTCCAGCACCACAATTCAAAGACTTCAATAGTACGTATAGCTAGTAATAAATAGAACTCATGCTGCATTAAATTATCTCATTAATCTATCCTGAACTGTATTTGTGCATTAAGGCTGCCTGTATTTCTCATATGCATCCTTAATGTCCGCAAGACATAGATATGTTTTCAAACAATGTTTCAGAGATTCTTTTTTTAAAAAAATGTAATCAGACAGGTGAGATATAGTCTTCAAGCCTATTTATCTGTACATTATCAGTGGAAATCTGAAAGCAGTCTACTGCCTAAAATTAACATTAAATAATACAAAAGTTGTATTTTGTATATTAGGCATCAATTTCCTGTCTTCAAGGTATCACTTTCCTGCTTTATCAGTCTATCTCATGCTAGGTTGAAAATCAGTGTTCAAAGACAAAATACATTTAGACTCGCCACAACTTATTCATTAAAACGTGGTGAGAATGATGGCCTTTGAAGAATTGCACACATGAATTAAAATTGAAAATGTTTTTCTGCACTGATTAATAGGCCCTCTTCTCCGGCCCACAAAATATTGAAAATTGTAGACATCCATTTTCATAAGAGAAGAGGTACCTTTTAATCCCATTTTTTGTTCGTAGTTTAGATTGGACATAATAATGAAAAATAAGACTTTCAGTCTTATCTAAGGTTGAAAGATGTTTTAAGATTCAGGAGGTAAGGACTGCTATGCTACAGATGTACTGCAATTTCAGGACAATCTAGGATGACCTGATGTGGCAATATTTCATTTATATACAGTGCAATATTATACAAATTTACTCAAAAGGCAGCTCCACTGAGTTTAGTGGCCTTAATTTTGGCAAGTGGGTATAAACTGCACCCTTATACCTTTATTTCTTTAAGGCATTTAAATTCCACATTTAATGATATTGATCCTGGGGTGGTTTAACATGCAAAGTAAAACAAAAGCAAAATAAGATCTGCAATTAAATGATTCAAACCTATCAACACAATCCACCATTAAATAAATATTAAATCAGGAGCATGAAAACTTCATTGACAGAATAGAAAATGGATACTGTTAAAATTGCTGGAAAGAATATTGATACTTAATTCAACACAAAATTTGAGAATGCCAAAGTATAATCCCATTTTCATCTGTGCATTGGTTTGTGAAGTGCAAATTAGGAAAATCTGTATTAAAGTGTGGGCCAAGCACATTTCTCTCCCATTCCTACTAGGAACACACAACCTGCACAACAGCTCTTTAATTAATTAATTAATTGTGTGTAATTTGCATCTTTGGAGAAACTGCAATTCCGAATCTTAGTGGAATTTAAAATGGCAGAATAGGTAGCATCCAAATACGTCTCAGGACTAGTGCTGATGTGATCCTGCACTTTTGTAAACCAACCCAGTGGAGATTCTCCACTTTCGCTGACCGTTGAACAATGCATGGGGTGCAGATTTTATTGGCATCATCTGTTTCTATAGTATTCAGTTATATATTATCTGATTGGGGTTTTATAGTTTTGTATTTTTGCACACCACCTTGAGAAGTTCTACCCATAAAGTAAGCCTAAATAATTAATGAATTCATAAATCTCTTACTAGTGTCAGTCAAGGTGCTTATACTACATTTTTGAATCACTGCAATACTAGAAATCTATGCTATATATTTCTTAACACTTTAATTTTTTCCCTAGAAATCTTAGATTAACTGGCTATATATATATATAAAATCAAATGTATTTATTTTGTGATTCAGGCTGGCTGGAACTGACAATAACACATAATTGCACTATGTGCCCATACATTTTCAGCATCTGTGACTTTGGTGCTTCAGAGATTGTAACAATTTCACATCGTAGCTTTACCAGTCTTGGGAATGGGGGGCAGTCATAAAATATTAGGTCATAAAGTGAAAGTGTCACCTAGAGCTTCAGAGCATTTTTCCTGGTTAACTCCATAAAGCTTTCAGAAATTTTTTAAAGTTTCAAGTCCGTTATTTATTTTTAATGTGCTCTTTTGAACCATCTGACTTTCTTTGCTTGTCTGCTGGAGCTGGCTTTATGTTCTATTCATGATTGTCACTGGAAGAAGCTGCTTCTGAGATCATTAATTTATTCCAATAGATTTCACCATATTTTAAATTAAACATTTTTTCTGCAAATTTCTAGTTCTATTTCAAGTTTTTTGGTCATTATTTGGAAAGAACTGCTTTCTAGTGAGAAAGCAACCTAGGCCACTCCAGGTAGGCAAAGATTTCCCTCAGTGTAGATTGAATAGATTGATTGTGTCTATAGTCTGCAATGTACAGTGTGCATGCATGTGTGTTAAGTATACAGTAACATATTGGTGAATTCAAGTGACAACCTTCCCCCCAAATGTAAAAAATCATCCTTTTTAACTGGAAGCCTGTGATCAATATGGGTTTAACTGGTAGATAGAATATAGGCTCCATCCCCTGATCCCTGATTATTAGGTCACAGTGATGCACACACAATCCACACACACAATTTCTTTGCACTTCTGAAAGAAACTACACTCCATCAAACACTACATGAGTATTTCCTAGCTCAGTGCACTCCAGATGTTTTGTCCTATGTTTTTTCCAACAATTCTGACCACTGGCTATGCTAGAGTCACATACATTCAAGGACACAAGGATGGCAAAAGCTGGTCCGGAGTGTATTACTCAGCAAGCATCTCTGTGATCCTCTGTGCTGTCTGCATCTCTCCAGCTCACTTTTGTCTTTCCACGGATATAGATTTGTGCTTTTTGCACAATCATGGAAAGAATCATGCCTGGGTTGTAGGATAATGGAGATACTTTTTTCTTAGGTGACTTACTGATTCTCAAGAATATGGATATTGAATCCATGTAAGGACATCTTCATAAGAGGAGAAACGTTTACTTATGAAAAAGTAAATCCTTCTTAAACTTCACTGAAAAAATGTACATCTTTAAAAATCAACTTTGTAGAGTTGTGCTCTGCTCTTAACATTTCCAGATAAAGGCTTGGTTCTTAAGTTAAATTCATTTCATTTTAAATTCATTCATGGAAGAAAAGTTTCCTTTCCCTTCCACTAACCTTCAGCCATGCAAAAAGCTGCTCCATAGGATTGCAGGTCTTAGGATGGGATAGGGTGAGGATAGAATGCAAACTTTTCTTCCTTAAGTTCACTTAGCTGAGGTTTCAAGTTAACTTAATCTGGGATCCAAGCCAAAGCTCTTCAAATAATGCTGTATTCTTTGAGAAAAAAATAATATATGTGTGATCTGTATTTCTTTTATTCCCATTTGTTACTCATGAATATTTATTTTGTATTTCAGATTGCTATGCTTTTCTTCTTTGTTGTACTAAGGAATTGATAGCTCAATTCTGTGCATATTTACTAAAAACCCAGTGATTTCAATGAGACACCCAAGAGTGCATCAAATTTCAGGCCTAGTTTTGTGGGTTTCATGTATGTAGTGGCTTTTCCATTTCAGCAGGTACATAAGACCTTTCAACCTGCATTGTTTCTCCTTCTCAGTTAATGGGCTGAAGGTTTACTGAGATTAAGTGACAGCAACCACTACCATAGAGCATTGGTTTGGATGTAGCACTAGACCACCGTTTAGAGTCATGTGCACGATTCTTCCCCCCTCTCCTGTCCTCCTCCAGCATGGCTGTGGGCTGCTTCCATTGTCAATCAATCAGACCTTGTAGTTTCATCTGAACTGGGAAGCGCACTAAGTAATGATTACTGCTTGTCCAAAAAAACTTGGTTCACAAGCTATGGTTTAATGTTGGATTGTTTGGACGAACAGTTCAGATGAAAGTTGAAGCTGAAGATGCTTTTGATTTCCTTGAGACTACACAGGAGGAAAAGATGGAAGGTCCTTTTCCAGCCTAAGGTATGCATTTGAAGAAGGCCATGGGGAAGAAAAAACTAAGAATGATTACACCACAGATAAGCAAAGGCTGATTTCAGTGGAAGGGCATTAAGCATGTACATAATTCCACAATTGAAATCAAGGCGATTTAAGCTTTAAAGTTCCAAACTTTGGTCCGGGTCTTATCTCAAGTACAAATGTGTTCCAGCTCTATCATGCTGCTAAGAAGACACTATAATAATAGTGGCTTCTCATACTTGACCCTGATTTTCATTTAGCTGTTATTTATTCTACCTCATTTTTTTTTTTAAATTCCAGGGAGTGGATTTTGCTGCATTTACAGGACACATGTTTCTTGGAATTTCCCTTGTGCTTCTGGCTTCCATTCCTTTTCTAAGGCTTCTCTATTGGAACAAAAAGCTTTATAACAAAGAACCTAGTGAAATTGTTGGTAAGTTCAAGCTTGATATTATATAGTTGTGGATCTGGATAAATTTGCACCCCTGAATGGAACAATATTTTGTTTTTCTAAACATGGATTAGCCTTGGTGGCAAGCCCCATTCAGCCCTGAGTGTTTGTTATATTAATGGTCTCTTATATGGGTGGGTTGGTTGGTTGTTTAATTGACAATCTACCCTTTTTTGCCCCCCAAAAAATGCAGTTCAGGGCCTCTAACAGCAAAATCTGGATCTAAAAAAACTATTAAAATATAACATAAAATAAATAATTAAACATAATAAAACCAAACATAAAATAAATAAAATGTAACATAAAATCAAATAAATTAAATGATTCTTTCCTCCCACTTCTCAAGCTGTTATTTCCCCTTACTGCAATCCTGAGATATTCTGCTAAGCATAAGTGCAAGAGTATTAGATACCATGAATGTAACAGCCAAGCTTGGGCATTTGGACCAAGGTCCTTTCAGCTCCAGTGAATGAGTTCCCTGGAAAGACCTGCTTTTCTAGGTTCAATTCCTCTCCATTGCCCAGGTTGCAGAATGTCAAGATGGGACTGAGATTTAAAAATGAACATTCCCATTAAATATAGCCCTCCTCCAAGGCCTAGTTGTTACAAGTTGTCAGTGAATGTCTTTCATGAAATATATTTCATTTCTGCTTCCTACCTCCACTCATCCTGTTTCACTTTGAATTTATGCTGCTTTTCCAGGATTGGCCCTAATATTAAGCAACTGCTTTAGGTGGCAGATTTTGAGAGCGGCCACAAGGTGTTGGAAAATCAAGCTGGGTGAAGTCTGCCCTCACCTTTTATATGAGCTTGCTGCCTTCAGGAGTAGTGAGGGATGATGTCCAAATTCCAGTGCTGAAGAAAGGTTCAGCTGCCATTCCAGCTGGCTTTAGAAATTGGAATAGGAATGGGCGCCATCTTGTTCTTCCCCTCAGGCAGCAAAATGTTTTGGGCCAGCCCTGTGCTTTTCAAAACTCCTGCTATTTGATTCACCATCTTCTGTCTTGAATTCTCTCATGGACTTTTCTCCTGGAACTGATCATTGCCTTGAACTCTGAATATATAATTTCCTCATGAAAAGGAAATGGATCACCACTTGAAAAAAAATTATCTCTGGCCTACAATAAAGTAATGTATCTCTGGTTGGTGTGATCCTGGTCAGGCCAAAGTCAACAACTTGGGCTATCTAGAATAATCTCTAATACCTACAGTAATTATGGAAACGATTTTGCCAGCCTATATTAATATTTTGTGGATGTGGTGGGCACTTATGTGTAGGACAAGGGATATGACATCTATAGGATTTTCTGCTTCTTTCTTGTGCTTTCAAAACATTTCTGAGGTTTGTCTAGTTCACTATCGTTAGTGCTATTTTTATGTTTTATGTATCACCTGTATTATAAAAAAAAACTTTGGCTAGTTTATGGGAAGATGAGTGAGTGAGCGAGCTAGACAGATATTTGTAAAAGGTTGTCCTCAACTTAAGCATTCCGTTAACTCTTTTAAAGCAGGTTGAAGAGAACATCTGTTCCAGACAGTGCTTCTTGATCATTTATGGTATTTGACTGCAGGGGAATTGTTTAATATCTCATAGTAAATATTTCATACTGTTGCATGCAGAAACATCTGCATGAGCAAAGTCCCAGGTTACAAGATCTGTGTTAATCAAGAGTGGGGAACCACAGACCTAGGGGCCAAATTTGCCCCCTGGCCCCCCAGAAGGCCAGACCCCTCTTCCCCAACCATAAATTATGTAAGGGTTTCCCATGAGGAAGCCACTGCTCCCTTTTGAATGCCTCTTTTTATTTGCAGGCAGTAAGACCTTTAGGTTACAATGTATGATATTTTGTTTTTGTCTTCATCCCCTTTGCCTTTGATGTTCCCTACCAATGGAAGTCCCAAGAGGTTTTCTGAGACTGAATTTGGCCCTCAAGCTGAAAGAGTTTCTAACTCTTGTTTTAATACAGTTTGAAGGACTGCAGGAATCAGATGTGCATTCAGAGGGATGGCTGATGGATTGCAGGAAATTTGTGCCTTGACTGGACTGGATCCAGACTGCTATTTGATATGTTAAAGCAATAGTTTTCTGTACAAGGGCAACCTTCTTATCTGACTTGGCACAGGTGTATTTTGAACCAGAATACCTACACCAGGTGCAAAAGACACTGCAAGAAGCAGCTGTCAGTTAATTTATATTGAAGCCTAATACTGCTATCCGAAAGGCCCTTGGAAGCAAGTGTTCCTTGAAAGCTACTGGGAGTAGAACTTTTTCTGAAGTATCTAAAAAGATGTACTGTAGGATGCACTGTTGTTTAAAATAGCACAATCTCCACAAGGATGTTATTTTGAACCATCCAAAATGGCTCAATGTATTCAGAAAACAAGCATATCCAGGCTGAAATTAGACCTGTCATCTCTGGTACTCTCCGCCCACTATCATCAGATTCAGCAGTTTTCCTAATTAGTAAACGGTGTGCCCCCTTCCTCCATGCTGCTACAATCAGCAGCAGCTTCTGCCTGATGAAGCTAATCAGTAAAGCAAATACTAAAGCACCAGTTCTGTTACTATTTGCAGGGAAATCAGATGAGAGCAGAGATCAAAGAACATTTCATTAAAAGGAAGCTGGAGTAATTTGGCTTCAGAGGAGTAACAGAAAGTGCACGAGTTGTCTTAATGGGTCTTCTCAATCTCTAATTGCCATGTGTGGAGGCTTTTTTTGGGTAACCTTCAATAGGATTGTTTAAAGCAGCTGTTTCAATCAACTTGGTGTCTGCTTTGTTGCCCTCTGATTACCAATCAAACAACTGCTGAATGTGTGTGTACATGCGCATATATATAAAAGCACCCATCAACACTGCTTTGATTTCTTCGCTTGTCAAATCCTTTTGTGTATTGCATGTCAGTATTCTACTGCTTAATTTAGAATGGATCCATAAGTCTGATCCATCAGTGAATAAGACTGCTTGTGCTCTGCAGGAGATATACATATACATTCCAGACTGTTTGTTTTAAATTAGCTATTTATTTGAAAGTTTTTTTTTCAATGATTGCAGCATGGAGCCTGCTGCTCTTCATCAATTCTTTTCCCTCCTGTCCCAGTGCAATGATTTTAATATATGTAACAATTAATTTTATTATTATTGGATTCTTAAGCCTCACCTTTCAGTTTGCCAGATTTTTCAGAGTGGCTCAGAGATTAAAGCACAGACAGGTACAATTTAAAAAACAAGGCATAACCCCAAAAAACAAACACAGGGTTCCTAGGACTGAAAGCACCAATAGATAAAAAGGTTTTTCCTGGTATTTAAAGGATAGGAAAAATAGCATCAGGCAAATCTGTCGGGGGACCAAAGGCAACTTTGTTGATGAAATCAACAATCCCAGTTTCTCTGCGGTGGCGCCCAATCTATGGAATGCGCTCCCCAGAGAGCTCCGCCTGGTGCTGCTGTTATTTGTTTTTCGGTGCCAGGCAAAGACCTTTTTATTTAAATGTCATTTTAATTGTTAATATTATTTATTTATTTTATATCTCTGGCCAGGTCATCTCAAATTATATTGTTTTTATATTGTGATTATTTATTTATTATTGTGAGCTGCCCCGAGGCTTCGGCGAGTGGGGCGGCATAGAAGCTTCCTAAATAAATAAATAAATAAATATCCATACTACCATAGTAACTTTATTAGGCTATATTGAAGGCCACAGAATATTGTGCAATGTTTTGAGCTCTCCAGAATGCTAGATCAGGGAAGATGGTAGTTGAATTCTGTGTTGCAGATTTATACATTTTGGGGGCTGGGAGTGGGGTTAGGATTGGTCCAGAGGCCCTCCAAGGTCCCTTTCAGATCTACAGTTTTGTGTCTGGCTATAAATGCACACCTTTATTATGTAAGAAATACGTGAAATTTACATGAGCACTGTGCCAAACATATCCCCAATGTTTATGTTTGGACAGAAAAGAAACTCATTTCAAAAAAATTCAACAATGGAGAAAATATTGGAGGACATTATGGGTAAGGTTTGGATATCGTTTGCATAGTTTACCTAGGAGGGGGCCAAGATGGCCAGTCATCTCTCCAGCAGCCCATGGAGTCCTTATGCACATCCATGAAAGCCCAGGGGAAGAGATTATGAGCAACTCCTTCCATAGGGCCTCTTTCAGATCTCAAAGTAAAGGCAATCTGGTGGCATGGGGATAGTAATGATTAGGTAAACTCAAAAACACCACAAAGATAAATTATAAAAGACCCTGCAAATGAGGCAGAACGAAGGACACCTCTTTAATGGAAAACAAAACTTCTAGGCAACTGGAGGATAGATGTTGGCACAGCTCCATCTTCCCTGGAACTGGACCCAGTATTGCCACCCCATGCATTGGTGTTGTGGTGGAAGCAAAGAGGGCAACCTGCCAACATGGCTGATGCTGTTTCAGCAGAACCTCCCCCTGCCCAGGTGAGCTCTACCTGTGAGAACTGTTGAGAATTTCTCCACCCTGTGTGAGATTATCCATGAATTTCTCAGTCCACAAATGGAGAATGCTGAGAGGCCCTTTGCACAGAGCTTTAGCCTAAATACTGACTAAAAGAAACAAAAGGAAATAATCAAACCCTTTGATTTTTCAAACAGACAAGCTGCTAGAGAGAGCAGAGGAAGTGGGCATTGTACAAGTTTGGATTGGTCCCAGAGAAATGATGCTTGGGCATCACTTGCTCTGCACAGCATATGGCAGTTCTGTGGAAATTAATGAGCTTCAAATAAATGTTCTGATTTCCCAACTGAATGTTCTTGTTTGTTCAACTGAAGCCTGCAGCTTTGCAATCATCTCAAACTCTGAGAAGCTGGTACTAACCTAGTTCACAGCATCTTTTAACTTGCTATATTCTTCATCTGCTCTAGTGATCAGATAATGACTGGGTCTCTTCTGTACATGTTTTCCCTGTGATGTTTTCAAATTCCACGAGGAATACATAGTTGTCTTCCGAA